CGTTCACTTAAAATTCTTTATCAAACATCTCATCTTGTTTCTCATCGTCTCCTACACTTTCAGTGTCAAATCGTAGCAGATCGATTTACACTTGGGGGCCCACCTCTCGTTCCCTTAATGTCCAACGAATAACAAGAAAATTATCCACTCGAGAACTCACCGAGAATGAGTGGCGGTGGCAGGAGGTGGAACCGATGAACCATTCTCCCAATTCGATTCCACTTTTTTTTTCTTCTTCCATTGCAGCCTCACCAGTGGATTCAGAACCAAGTGGAGGATCCACGGAAAAGTGAGAAGGTGTGCATCATCAGAAGTGCCGGGGAGGGGAAGTTTTTCTATCCTCAATAACAATGTATGGTGTGGGGGAATGGTGTCCTAGGCCTACTCGGAGATACAATAGACGCGAAAAATCATCCATTATGCTTGGGGCAATGGGCCTGCAGGACCCGTTGCACAGACTTCACAATGGCGTACGCCCATATATCACTCGTTTCAATGTGTTTTTTTCCTCCTTTTTCTCCAAAAACTGCGGCTCAATGAGCTTCCTTCCTGAAAGTGGACCAAAGATTTGAAAAATCTTTTTCAGGAGTCACTTCTTCCTGATAATTTATAGGCTTGCCATTCTGTATTCACGGAATTTGGAAGGGAAAATTGCAGAGGAATATCTGAGCTTGAAAAAGGCATTTTTTTTTCATTATTGTTTGAATTTTTGTTGACAAGAATCTGTTAAGAATCACCTCGGGATTTAAAAAAAATCGGTGAAAGAGTAATTTATCAGATTTTTCTCTGCAGGCAGGAGGAAATTCGGTTGTTTTAAGATTTTTATTTTTTTATTATTAATTCATTCTCATTTATAGAATTATTTGGCTTCACATGTTCATTTCAATGTGTTTTTTCCTCCTTTTTCTCCAAGAACTACGGCTCAATGAGCTTCCTTCCTGAAAGTGGACCAAAGATTTGAAAAATCTTTTTCAGGAGTCACTTCTTCCTGATAATTTATAGGCTTGCCATTCTGTATTCACGGAATTTGGAAGGGAAAATTGCAGAGGAATATCTGAGCTTGAAAAAGGCATTTTTTTTCATTATTGTTTGAATTTTTGTTGACAAGAATCTTAAGAATCACCTCGGGATTTAAAAAAAAAATCGGTGAAAGAGTAATTTATCAGATTTTTCTCTGCAGGCAGGAGGAAATTCGGTTGTTTTAAGATTTTTATTTTTTTATTATTAATTCATTCTCATTTATAGAATTATTTGGCTTCACATGTTCATTTCAATGTGTTTTTTCCTCCTTTTTCTCCAAGAACTACGGCTCAATGAGCTTCCTTCCTGAAAGTGGACCAAAGATTTGAAAAATCTTTTTCAGGAGTCACTTCTTCCTGATAATTTATAGGCTTGCCATTCTGTATTCACGGAATTTGGAAGGGAAAATTGCAGAGGAATATCTGAGCTTGAAAAAGGCATTTTTTTTCATTATTGTTTGAATTTTTGTTGACAAGAATCTTAAGAATCACCTCGGGATTTAAAAAAAAAATCGGTGAAAGAGTAATTTATCAGATTTTTCTCTGCAGGCAGGAGGAAATTCGGTTGTTTTAAGATTTTTATTTTTTTATTATTAATCTATTCTCATTTGTAGAATTATTTGGCTTCACATGTTCATTTCAATGTGTTTTTCCTCCTTTTTCTCCAAGAACTGCGGCTCAATGAGCTTCCTTCCTAAAAGTGGACTAAAGATTTGAAAAATCTTTTTCAGGAGTCACTTCTACCTGGTAATTTATAGGCTTGCCATTCTGTATTCACGGATTTTGGAAGGGAAAATTGCAGAGGAATATCTAAGATTAAAAAAGTCATTTTTTTTCTTTATTATTTCCCTTTTTGCAGACAAGAATCTGTTAAGAATCACCTCGGGATTAAAAAAAAATCGATGAAAGAGTAATTTATCAAATTTATAAAATTTGCGAGAAATACTATTCAAATATCATTTCCCTTTTCTTGAACGAACAGTCTATTAAAATTATCCCTGAGTGATAGTAAAAAATACGTTACTAATAATTTTGCAAAGAAAAAAAAAATTGTTAAAAGAATCTGTCCAAAAATCACTCTTGAACTTTCATAAAAAATACAAAAAGTCTATTAAAAATTCCAAAAATTCTAATTTTCACCAGAATTTCTCTCCCCCTCGCAGCAGCAGAATCTGTTGCTTCACGATATTCATCTCCTCATTACAAATCCATTCTCATTTGTGATATCATTTTGCTTCCCATTCGATTCCATCTGAATTCACACGTATATTAAAGTCATCCTTGGCTATCTCAAGGGGCCCAATGAGTGAGAGAGCAGCTTTGAAGGTGGAATCAGACGATTCCCCCACCCCAATTCTCTCGAACCAAAACGATTATAATAACTATTTTATCCATCCTCGGGATCTGGACCATTGTGCTCTCCATTCTGAAAGTCATAACACGATACACCGACTCGAAAAATTGTATCGGGGAATAGCGCGCGCCGCCGTCGTTCACTCACTCTCACCCAGTCCTCCAATCATTTTGTCCTTCTTTCGATCTAACCCCCCCCCCCCCCACAACTCTTTCTCATCCAGTCGAATGTTATTTGAGTCGGTGTTGACTCCGAGGACTGCACGAGCCGACGGGGAATACGAGGACGATAGTCTGCTTCGTCTGATTTTTGGGTAGGTGAGACACAAACGTGGGCAATATTTCATTGGGAAAAGATAGAGGGGGCCCACATTGTTGCCATCTGCACACGCAACCGTACGACAGAATAGAAACGTATATACTTTTTATTTATCTTCTATTTATTTGCCAACGCGCTACCGAGTTGTCTACTCCCCTCCCTCGACGCTTCATTCCCCCTCTGGCCCAGACAGATTTGAAATGTTATTAATCGTTTTTTGTTTTTTTTTCTTCTGTGGTCTTATTGTGATGAAGGTGGCACCCTCGTCTTCTCGGGTTTCGGGATGGGAATGCAAAAATTGGAGGATTGGATTAGAGGGATATGATGGAGTGTAAAGTATCTTGGAAATTATCATGTTGGGATTTCTATTCAGGGGACTATTGCGTCTATTAGTCAGTGATTGGTTGGGTATTTGATGATGCAAAATAGATGAGATTCAGACGTTGGGTGGCGGAGTCGAAACCTTTACTTGGGCGTCGCACTACCGCGGGTCGCGGGACGGAAATCGCTCGATAAAACAGGTCCCTAGATTGATTTGAATAATTTTTTTCTATAAATACTGTTCACAGACCCTTTGATTCTATTATTAGAGAATATTGCAGGGTAAACTATGAGTAAAATTTAGGCTGGAAGCAGTAAAAACTATCGAACTGCTTCATAAGGCTGACGAGTGTAACTTTGCTCTCTTTTTCTATTTCATTTCAGAAGAACACGCGCTTGAAGCACTGTTCGAAATTTTTTGAAATTTCATGGCAAATCTTGCAGTAATTCTCATGAAAATGATTACAAAATTTCAAGTTTTACTTAGAATTCAAGGAAATTCATGAGTTTTCAGTTGAAGTCAGAATTTTTGCTTAAATTTTCCTCATTTGTCCGAATTTTCACGGAATAGTTGAACTGAAGAATCTACTATTCGATTGATTTTCAGTTTGAATTATCAAAAAATCAATGAAACATTTAATTTTTCAATCACGAAATTTCCTGAAGTTTTAGTGGAAATTAAACATTATGAAAATTCCCCGAAATTGACGCAGAAAATGCAACGCTACTCAATATGAGTCAGGATTACTAAAAACTAAATACCTATATACATTTTGAAAAATTCAAAATATTTGGACTTTAACATTACATCATAATGTATTCTAAAAATTGAATTATACTATTTTCTATTACAATATATTATTGTTTCCTTCACAAATATAACGTCACAAGCATTTTCCCAAATCTTCGAGATAATGTTAGCTTTTACTTTCCCCCAATCCAATACGACATTTGCAGAAAATTTCTGTAGAATCAGTTCGCAAGGTCCGTCCAATTTTTCCCGTTAACTTCATAAATATTTAAAGGATTCCTCCTGGACCAGCAAGGGACAGAGCTCTCTTTGGTAGTGTGTGCCGGCGTGCGACGCCCAACTGTGCACCGTCGATTTGAATATAATCCGTGTCACGTTGACATATCGGACAAGCCAAGCCGAGCGCGTTTATCACACTTCTCTGTCCCTCGTGAAACGAATAACCAATTAGTTTACAATGAATTAGTCAAACACTCTTTTTCCCCCCTTTATTTTCCATTGTCCGGGTCCATTTGTTTCTTTTTATCTCATTGTCGTTTCGTGCGGTGGATTTTTTATTCCGTCCGGAAGTGGATTCACCATTTTCTACGTTAAAAGAAGGAGATAAAAAACGACAGAGGGGGGCGAGGGACGGGATAGTGGAAGTAAGAGGGAAAAAAGTTGAAAAAAAAATGCGCCAAGTTTGCGCTTCCGCTTTTCGCGCCTCGGGGAGAGACGAGAGAGGGCGCTCTTGGCAGTGGGGCTGGCGTCTGAAATATATTCTCCGTCAACTTCCGGTTGATATAAATAAAGTCACGCCACTCTTTTTTCCACCCCCTTCTCTCACGTCTCCTTCTTTACACTTCTTTTTCCTCGAGACGCGTTTCCCCACCGCAGAGGGGGTGAGTTCCGAGGGCGGCCATTCGTGCTCAGGAGACCTTATCTCTCAATATCTTTTCCTCAGCTTTAACTTCAGGGAGACACGAAACCAACGATAGTCGAGAGAGATAATTTTTCAATGCAGAACAGAATGGCAGGGATCACATTGAATGGGTTAAATTGTTTACGTTTTTCTTCGCGATGTTTCTTTCTCATTCATTAAAAGATACTCCATTGGGTATTCCGTTCATCAATGTCATAGGGGGGAAGTCTTTCCCAATATCTGAAGACAATTTTTGATTCGAGAAATTGTCATTGTTTCATTCTCTTCGGTTATGCAGCAATTTGTAATTGGAATCGTTAATTTTTGTGATTACAGGAGAGAAGCCATTCAAGTGTGAATATTCAGGATGTGAGAGACGATTCGCAAATAGCAGCGATCGCAAGAAGCACAGTCATGTTCACACATCGGACAAGCCGTACAACTGTCGAGTATCTGGATGTGACAAGTCATACACACATCCTAGCTCGTTGCGCAAACATATGAAGGTAAAAATACATTCTTGGGTATCTATTGGGGGGATGAATGGATGACGTCAAAAGATTTTGGAGAACATTTTTAACGTGTAAACGTCTTATCGGGTTCTGGGAACCGGAGTAATTCAGTCGATCATAGAATAAATTCTGTAACAACAAGAGGGCGAGCTGTGCAGCGTAATTATTGGGGCGTCCGACCGATGTCGCTAATCGGCTCTTCCCTGGTACATTGAGAAAAATATATGAAGAGAATGAGGAATAAATGGAACACATTGTCAAGCAAGTCTTGTTTGGGCCAACAAAATCGCTTGTTGAAAATTGCCAAAAACTAATTTGTTTCGTTCGAATTTGAAAATCTCAAACATGAATAATTGTTCTGCTTTTGACAGCAACGAGATATTTGGCTCGAGAGGCGGATAATTCACACCAGACGGTGCCTTTTCAGGATGAAATATCTCATATAGAGGAAAATTTATCAACAAATATTTTATCCCCAAGTTACAAGATTGCTATCATATCTTTATTATTGTTTCATTTAAGGGTTCATTTCTTGTCTCTGATTATTAGACAGCCGAAACGAAAAACTACTATCCCTTGTTTCGCATAAAACAAAGATTTTTTGGGAGCAAAATACGTATGGGAGTATCGAATAACGAAGGAGTAGGGCTAGAAATGACATTTCTTGCGTGTACAGAGAATGCAATTTTTTTTTAACTACTAAATCTATTCTCGCGACAAAAATTTTTCATTCCGGCGCACTCTCTGCATGTTTGGCACAACAAACCCTTTTTTGATAATTTTCAAAAAACTATTTTCTTAGCCCAAGTAAGACTGTTTGAGAACTTTGGGATTTGTCTCTCGGTGTAGCGAAAGGGCTCGCGTAGCTTTTGATTTCAATCCTATAATCTTCATTGGTCAATTCAGTCGATGAAGAACTCTTGAAATGAATTAAATAAAAAGAATTAAATCCCCAGAACTCTATCAAAAATATTCCAAATAATACGTGACTAGTCTTAACGCACAATCGAGCGTGGAATATTAATAGAAAATTACGTCTGTGAATTCTCGTTTCGGGTGGTAGAAGAGAAACAGAGAGGAATGAAAATAATATAGGGTTGAAGGAGGGCCTGACCCAACTGACTCCTGGAGATACGTGAACGATAAGGGGGTCTCCCTCCACGAGACCCGTGGATTCGCGGAAGCCAGTCGCCGAGATTTGCCCGCTGAATTATGAAGAAGAGACGACAAAATAAAAGATTGAGAAGCGAATGCCAGAGGGCTCTCGTCACGTCTCCAACCACTTAATTAAAACATTTTTATTAACTTCATTGTGCCCTAAAATAATGAAAATTCTTTATTTCTCTTGTTTTAGGTGCACGGTATGACTTTGGGGGAGGGAAAGCTGGGGGGTGGATACGAGAGTGAGGGTGAGGAGAGCAGCAGCAGTGGTGGAAGTTTATCGGTGACTGGACACACCGAGTCACCCCAGCCACCGCCTGTAGTACCAACTGTAACACCAGCCAACCCAACGACAAACAACCATCCCTCGTCAAGGGGGCCAGAGTTGACTGAGTGGTATGTCTGCCAACCACCGACTGTTGGACCCCAGCACAGCCCATTGCCCGGCCCACCACCACCCCATCACCTAGGACACCACTTCAATCACACCCTTATGCATCATCAAGCGACGGCATACTGAGCTGACTTGTTTTAAATGCCTGAAATGACATTTCTCGTTGGTAAATGCATCGGTTCTTATTAAATTATTTTTTTATATTGTTGGAGGACAGCATAAAAAGTGCAACATTCAGAGAAAAACACAGCGAATTCGGTGGAAAATTCTATTGACTTTCGATTGAGATATTTTCTACAGAAATTCTTCGGCGGAAGTTTTGCTTTTATTTGAAAAATTATAAAATTCATCCCAAGAAATTACTGTGGACATTGTCAAGGCAAGAAACATTCAGTGAAATTCAGTAGTAAAGCGGTAAACCGGGTCAAGTCGATTTTGACTTTTGATCCGTTTTTCATGAATATCTCAGAACCTAAGAGAGATAGCAAAATTTTTCTTATGACCTTTTTTGTAGAACCAATTAAGGGCTCTAAAAAGGTCTCGACAAAAATTTTTCTATCTCTTTTAGATTCCGAGATATTCGTAAAAAACTGGCCAATAGTCAAAATTGACTTAACCCGGTTTACCGCTTCGCTACTGAATTCTTCAATACAATTTCCAAATTGTCCTATAACTGAATTATCTTTTGGATTCACTAGGTTTTTCTGTCGAATTGTTTCGTTCATGACTCGAATGCAAAGGAAAACAGCGGATTTAACTAGTTGAATTGTTTGAGTGCGATCAATGATATTATTGAATACGAAGACTTCTCAGTGTCGACTGGAATTGATGCATTTGTCCGATTCAGGGGGAATTATTGTGTTTGGTATTCAAATAATGTACAAGTTTAGCCACGTCTGTGCCTCATTTTGCTAACCAAAAAGCCATGAAAATTGAATCGTTGTTTTTTTGTTTGAAGATACTCCATTAGATTGTCGAAATTGTGACGCTTGTAGATCTGATATTCGGTGTTCATTAACCATCATTCGGTTCACGCGTTAAACTGAGTCCAGTTTGAATATTGTATTGCTGTATAGATTTTTCATTAATGTGAGAGGGAGAGAGAAAGACATTTGTAAATAGTTATCTTCTCGATATATTTCCGATTTAAATTATGGGAGGAGGGAGGGGGGCACAAAGCCCCGTCAATTGTATTATATGAATTTCAATTATAATGTGTGATATCCTGTACATACAGAGATCTACCATTGATTAAGTAATATTATTTGTAATGATAGTAATTATTACGCTGAAATTTGTGTATAATGCTTAATTATTAAGAGAGAGTAATGTGCGATAAAAAAGAGATAAATGTCGGATTATAAACGACTAAATTGTACTATATTATAATATTTGTTTTGCAAAGATTCAAAATATACTGGCGATGCGAAGAAGTTAGAGAGAACAACTGTCTACTTTATTTATTATTTCGTTTTCCTCAAAATTGAAAACCTAAATACACCAACCAAATTGAATTGAGTATAAAATATACTTGAATCAAGTACACTTGAATCAAGTTCGAGTTTTATACTCGAATGGGGAATGGGTGAGTCAATTCGAGGATGATTATCAGCCCGGGTTGTACCAAGCGCTCTCAAGTGTAATATAAGGGTCAAAAAGAAAAGGGAGGTTAAAAAATGAGGGTTGAAGCATTGAGTCAAAATCTGAGAGCCTGAATGTAAAGGTGAAGGAATGAGCGTCAGAATATTAGGATTAAAAAATTAGGGTCAGAATATAAAAGTAAAAAAGGGGGTATCAGGCAATGAGGGTCATATAAGGGCTAAAAACGGTGATCAAGCATAATATATGACTTATATTTAGACCCTCATTGCCTGACACCCACTTTTTTTACTTTTACATTCTGACCCTAATGTTTTGACCCTAATATTCTGACCCTCATTTTTTGACCTACACTTTTTGACCCTCATATTCTGACCCTTATATTACACTTAAGAGGGCTTGCTACAACCCGCCCTGATACAAAAGAATCATCTTCGAATTTAAATACTCATCCCCCGATTGAGTATAAAATACCAGGTATATTTTTTTCCGTGTTTTCTTTAGAATATCCTGAAAATTTCGTATCAAAATCAAGTTTTTTGAATTCTGAACCTGATTTTTTCTGTTCAAAATTCACTTTTTGAAAATACTTTGAAAAATGCTTGATATTGATGTTTTTTTCATTTTAAACGAATTAAAAATACCGAAACAAAGAGTAAATAAATATTCACCGACAGTTTTTCCTGAATTTACGATAGATTTCGAAAAACTACTGGTGATATTTCCAAGCAGTAAACTGTTCTTATTAAGCTGACCATTTGACTCGGACAAGAAATTTAGTGGAGAAATAAAGAAGCGAGAGAAAGAGGGAACGACACACAAGTGTGTATATGAGTTTTGGGAAGACTGGGGAAATAATATACGAAGCACTGGGCAACTCGGCGCCAGTGGATTGTCTAGGGGGGTTCTACC